CTGTGTCTCTCTCTGTCAAATAAATAAATAAAATCTTTAAAAAAAAAAAAAAGAATCACTGAGTAGTAGTACTTCAGTGTCCCCAGGAATTGGATTTCTAATGTCCTCTCGCAATAATACTTTATGCAACCTGTTTTTGTAAGATGAACATGGAAGTCTTCTTAATTCCTTAAGTAGCCCAGTGTCTGGCATAAAACAGAGAAGAGATGAATACGTGTTGGAGGGATAATTCGTGCTGAATGAATCCTAAACCCTAAGCCTCTCATTGAATCACTTTGACCTCACTGCTTCCTAGACCTTATCTGTAAAAGGGGGATTTGGACCATGGGGTCTCCAAGTCCCTCCAGCCTGGGGTTTTTCAGCCTTCATACTACATGCATTTGGGGACAGATCATTCTTCGTGGTGTGTACTGTCCTGTGCATCGTAGGAGTTTTTTCTTTTAGCAACATTCCTGGCCTCTGCCCACTAGATGCCTCTAGTAACCCCCCATCCAGCTAGGACAACCCCAGATGCCTCCAGCCATTGCCACACGCACCCTGCTGAGAACCGCTGTTCTAGCCCTGCTGTCTAGAAGGAAGAAACAGACTTGAGATTTTCCTGGTACCACGCCCAACTTCTAGGGAAATAAAACAGTAGTGCCCTCTTATGAAGCTCCACATGCCCGCACTGTGCTCGAAGCTTTATGTAGATTCCTTTATGTAATTTTCATAACAACCCTATGCACGAGGCCACATTATTATCATTCCCATTTTACATATGAGGAACCTGAGGCGCAGGGAGATTAAGCAACTTGCCCACGGTCACACGGTTAATAAGCGATAGAAGTGGGATTAGAACTCCAGGCAGTCTGGCTCCAGGGCTAGAGTCTAACTCTGCTGTTCTGTAGAAAAGCAAGTATTTATTGCCAAGCAGTGTGGTAGGGACTTCCAAATATGTTATATTTCCTTTCATTTCCTTAATGTCCTCATTGAGAGACAGACTGTTCTCCCTGCCATACAGCTGAGAAAACCGAAGCTCAGTGAGGTTCAGACACTTGCCGAGGGGCACACAGCCTTTACATGGCCAAACCTGACTTTTGAACTTGACTCTGTCTCTCCACTTTATCCTATTGCCTTCTGGGGTGCAGGGAGGGAAGGAATTGACAGATGAGTTGAGGGATTTAAGGAAGTCAAGAATTGACAGGGTGTCTTGGATCTTCACTCAGGCTAACTGGTTCTGTCTCACACACTTCTTCCTTCAGTGGGGCAGTTCATGTCTCTCCACTGCAACGACCCTTGTCCCCTCCCCCGCCTGGGGAGGAGATAGAAAGAGCTCCAACCATAAGCACTACAGTGAAACAAAGACTTCATTCTTTTACAACATCTGGGCAGCTAGACCTAGCTAGCCTCCAGGGTCATCTCTGCCCCTCGCGGGCTCTGTGTGCCTCGGTTCCCCATCTGTAAAATGAGGGTGAATCATGGAACTACTCTCACAGGTTGTAGATGGCCTAAGGAAAAGAATGCATGTGGGGCTCCTGGATGACGCAGTCGGTTCGGTATCTGACTCTTGGTTTCAGCTTGGGGTCGTGATCTTGGGGTCATGGGCTCGAGCCCCGCGTTGGGCTCTGCACTTGGTGAGGAGTCTGCTTGGGACTTTCTGTCCCTCTCCCTCTGCCTCTTCACCCCCTCAAATAAATAAATAAATCTTAGGGTGCCTGGGTGGCTCAGTTGGTTAAGCG